ATGCTTCTTACGGAGCCACTCCTTTGTTGCCCGGGCGGTGTGTTTTGGATCATTGTCATGTTGGAAGACCCAGCCTCGTTTCATCTTCAAAGTTCTCACTGATGGAAGGAGGTTTTGGCTCAAAATCTCACGATACATGGCCCCATTCATTCTGTCCTTAACACGGATCAGTCGTCCTGTCCCCTTGGCAGAAAAACAGCCCCATAGCATGATGTTTCCACCCCCATGCTTCACAGTAGGTATGGTGTTCTTGGGATGCAACTCAGTATTCTTCTTCCTCCAAACACGACGAGTTGAGTTTATACCAAAAAGTTCTACTTTGGTTTCATCTGACCACATGACATTCTCCCAATCCTCTGCTGTATCATCCATGTGCTCTCTGGCAAACTTCAGACGGGCCTGGACATGCACTGGCTTCAGCAGCGGAACACGTCTGGCACTGCGGGATTTGATTCCCTGCCGTTGTAGTGTGTTACTGATGGTGACCTTTGTTACTTTGGTCCCAGCTCTCTGCAGGTCATTCACCAGGTCCCCCCGTGTGGTTCTGGGATCTTTGCTCACCGTTCTCATGATCATTTTGACCCCACGGGATGAGATCTTGCGTGGAGCCCCAGATCGAGGGAGATTATCAGTGGTCTTGTATGTCTTCCATTTTCTGATGATTGCTCCCACAGTTGATTTTTTCACACCAAGCTGCTTGCCTATTGTAGATTCACTCTTCCCAGTCTGGTGCAGGTCTACAATACTTTTCCTGGTGTCCTTCGAAAGCTCTTTGGTCTTGGCCATGGCGGAGTTTGGAGTCTGACTGTTTGAGGCTGTGGACAGGTGTCTTTTACACAGATGATGAGTTCAAACAGGTGCCATTCATACAGGTAACGAGTGGGGGACAGAAAAGCTTCTTACAGAAGACGTTACAGGTCTGTGAGAGCCAGAGATTTTCCTTGTTTGAGGTGACCAAATACTTATTTTCCACCCTGATTTACGAATAAATTCTTTACAAATCCTACCATGTGAATTCATGGATTTTTTTTTCACATTCTGTCTCTCACAGTTGAAGTGTACCTCTGGTGCAAATTACTGACCTCTGTCATCATTTTAGGTGGGGGAACTTGCACAATCGGTGGCTGACTAAATACTTTTTTGCCCCACTGTAAATCAATCATTGCCACCAACTATAGGCAGATTTACACACCACACATGCTTTGTTGAAGGATGAATGAAAGAGCAGGTGAATAGGAGGCAGGGCACTGGTGATGAGTTCAGTATACAGAGAGAGGCTGAACAAAAATATGTGTTACAAATACACCGGCACGAATACCTTTCCAAATTCTTTCCTGCTCACTCAGTGATGCTTACACAGAGACAGCGCTGGCACAAGTTAAAACCTGCAGCGAGAGGGTGTGTGTGAGCTGTTATAGGCCTGTGTGTGGGAAGATAGACAGGATTGCTCTGTTTCTACAGAATGACCCAACAAGGAGGGGGAGACAGGCAGCTGGATCACAACACGCTTCAATATAATGGAAATTTCTGCAGTGATGATCTTTAATTGGATGGCTTAGTCACGCAACTCTGACCTGTCACTTTATTTTTCAAACAAATCAGTCTGTAGGATTAAGTTATGACACACTCAGTGAAACACCAGCACACATACATTGTTTTCATTCAAAACTTCTTACAGCAACACTGTCTCAACCTTGATGTCCTCAAGATGAGCGTCTCTCACTGTCACTCGGGTCACCCTCACTTTCACTGTTAGTTTTGTCACATGAATTTGCCCTTTGGGCACTGCTGCCCTTATCCAGTAGTTCTTTTAGTATCTATATGTTGCATCATTGTTATATAAAACTGAGCTCCACATGTGACTTAACTAACCGTGCTGAGTACAGCTGAAATTATCCTGATGAATGGATAATGAGAACAGGGACATGAAAGTGAAGGCATCCTATGGTCCAAACAGCACTTACAAAATAATGATCCCCATCTTCTTTATCACAATTACAGTCATACACATGACGTGTGTCCTATGATCTAAGGAAACAGCAGGTCTGGAACTTGTCCAGTGAACCGGGAGAGAGAAGGGGAAGTTTCTGAGTCTGTTCTGCTTCTCTTTCTCTTCCTGGCATTCTCTCTCAGCCATCTATCATCCATAAATCAGCGTGAGATTTATGGAGCCAACTGGATGTCCGTCTCCCCTCGCCCTCTTTCTTACATTTCCCTGCCTGCCTTCTCATTTGATTTACTAACTATTATTCTGAGGACATATACAACAGTGAAGAAACCAGATGAGCTGACTGTGAGAGGGAGACACGGGGGAAGAGCAAGAGGGAAGCAACAAAATGACAAACATAGAGAACTGCAACTAAACACGCAATCAATGCTGACATGGAGATACAGAGGGGATGACTTAATAACCGATCTGTAGCATTTTTTATTTCTCTACAAACTAAATAATTCATAATTTGGTCCTTTAAGTTGAAAACACTAAGTAGAAGGCATGCCCACATATCTGCAACGCCTCTAACTGGCATATTTAACAGGGGATTCCTGGCCTACATGTTGCTTGCTTTCTTTTATTCTCCCCCACTGGCCTGTACAGGAGTGCAGCCAGATTGGCACGTGGACCTAGTGAGGCTACAAACCTCCAGCGGATAGGCACAGCTGGCTTTGTGCCCAGGATACAAACTCCCTTCTTGCAGAGAGCGTGTACTCCACTCCCTGCTGCTTCTCTGCAAGCCAGGGCCACTATTGTTGGTGCTGCTGCAGCTGCTGCAAGGGTCTCTCCTCTCCACTGTGCAAAATGACACACATTAGAGGACTACATGCCCTTCTGTATGACTAAAGAAAAGACTGCACCCAAACTGTACTTCAGTGTTCCCCTTATACCCTCAAAATGTATGTGTGCCCCTTGTAAGAAGGTTAAGGGAATGATGTGATCACTAGAAAACCACTTGTAATTTTACATTTCGGCAATATGGATCCTCATTGTGCGTGGCAGTGGGTGTCCCTCCTCTCCTCATTTGCACTGGGCTGATACACAGCCCACGTTAAAAAAAAAAAAAATCACACCATTACGCATCCAGCTGATGTATCACAAAGATGCCATATGAAAATTACAATCAATGAATAAAAATGCAATAAAGAAAATATGGATAGAGAATCGCCATCCGGCTCTTTCAACGTCCTTTCATTTTACCCTGTTGATACCACTGTTACATTCCGCATGGGCGAAGCGTGCTATCCCCCCTTCAGAAAAAAGAAATCCCGTAGCCTAAAATAAGGTGTGCCATTTTTTGCGCAAAGCTACTATGTGCCCGAGAGGAGCTCCTACCTGAATCGGGGAGAATCTTTTATACATTCTTCAAAGTCCACAGTCATTTTTGCGTTTTCTCGTTAATTCCCACGTCAGGCTGCCAATGTCATTGCCCCCAACGGGATGTAGCTTGAACCGTGTGGATGATGACTGGTATCCCCTTGACGCGCAGCAGTCTGTCGCCCCTCTTCTGGTGGCACGGTGACACAAAATGCGAGCCGAGTGCGCGGCACGCAGATTACTACTACACTACTGCCGCTGCTGCCCAGACAGGCGGGAGGCGTAGCTGCACCGTGAACACCGGTGAAGGAGAGAAGAGCGCCGAGCAGACACAAGCTTCCGTAACAACCCTGGAGGAGCACAAGGAATCATGGGAGATAGATAGATAGATAGATAGATAGATAGATAGATAGATAGATAGATAGATAGATAGATAGATAGATAGATAGATAGATAGATAGATAGA